TTTCCGTGGGTACCCTTGGAAACCTTCTTTACCTCCTCGCTATACCCCTGAGTCTCATCCTCTCCTGTTAACTGTTGTTTCGATAATTTCCAAAGGTTGTTACCACCTATGGTATTAATCCAAGTCAAAGCATGACCATTAACAGAAATTCTCTCATCTCCAATCTATAAATAGCCACGACAAGAGTTAGTGACTACTGAAGTGCTTCCAAATCTTGGACACGAACTTACTCTGAAACCGTTCGAGTTTTCCATCTGTCCCATGTCTTCGATCGCATCGAAAACAACTTCTTCGGGCCCTTTGTCTTTTATACACACGAAAAGTTCCTTGAGACACCCAGCTTTCATGGCTAAGTTTTTCTTATCTTTCACGCACTGTATGGCGTTGTTAAAACAGGTTTCCTGGCAAAAGAAACTTTAGGCAATGAAATATATAACTTTAACATAGGTTTTTTGAGTATCTCTTCCATTAGAACAACATTCCAATGAGAAAAATTATCGATAATAGCCGTCAATTGAATAAATCAAAACGGTTTATTTCCCAGATTATCGCTCTCAGTGGCCATAGGATCTCTTGAATCCTCAAGGCTACGGCAACGTATAACTGTGTGTCATCGTTAAGGTTTAAAACGAACTGATAAGAAGCTATTACTTACCACGTATGGAGGCACTGTCGGCATCAGCGCCGAAATGCAGGTTTTGTAATCCTTGAGACATTCGAGTTTATCCTTGTTTCCCTGTTTGACACACTTCAATAGATCTATTTTGCATTGCTAGATGTGCAATACAGAATATAATCATTAGAAAAACAAAATAGAATAATATGGAATTTGAAAGAATATACATAATCAACTAAATTATTTCTGTGCTTATCTGTGGCAACATTCTGGGGGGAAATTTGGCAGATCATATGATTCGAAAGTGGCACTCAGCTAGTGCATATCTTTTAAAACCAAACTAAAGAGCATTTATAGGAAATAAGGGAAGAATAGCTAACAATCACGAAATTAAATGACTACATTTTTGCCTTTGATATCAAGTCTGCCAAAATGGAAAATCCCATCGATCTTTTAGCCGTTGAGGTATTTTCTTCTCCTTAAAGACACAATCCTTTAATAGTAAGTTTTCGATTGTATGTTGACCGAGAAACGACTCACACCTCATGGAGGTGTCTGTCATCACGTGAAAGTGATCTGACTAATGCCTTTTCCTATTGGAGGGGATCACGTGCCCCCCCAAAAACCTATTCCCCTTGGGGTAATTTAGTGTTATAAACTGCGTTGATAACGTAAATTGGCCACCGTAAAGGGTTTAAAAGCTGACGTTTCGAGCGTTAACCCTTCGTCAGAGCGATTGGGCTAACAAAGGGCTAACGCTCGAAACGTCAGCTTTTAAACTCTTTACAGTGGTCAATTTACGTTATCAACTCAGTTTATAATACTAAATAACCCTGTTCTTCCACTGACGCAGCACCACAGTTTCTTTAGAAACTTACCCCTTCTATTCCTTAGTTCCCTTAGCCGCGCCCTGTCATAGTTTTACATTCTCGTTGACTCGTTTACTAAAGCTACCTCTGGTTCATTCTTACCAAAAATGGTGGTGGGGCTGTTGGTATCAGCACGGACATGCAGGTTTTGTAATCTTTTAAACATTCGAATTTGCCCTTTTCTCCAAGGTTAAGACAGTCATACAAGTCGATGCTACATTGCTGAACATGAACAAAGAATAAAATCAGTAGAATAATTCTAGTAATTATAATTAAACCAGCAATGGTGATTATAGCAGTGTACTGAGGAACACACGACTGAAAAGAATAGAACAAGAAAGAGCGCATACGACGTTTCTGCGCTTAACCGTTCGCACCTTTTACTTTTTTCTCGCTTTTCTAAGGCATTGGCTTCAGAGCATGTATGAGTAGGCAACAGAGGAAAGAGTCCAAAGTTATGAATGATATTAGTACTTCATGTTTGATAGCCAACCTATTAGTGTTAAAATGCGCATCGTTTACTTCCTTATCCTTCGGGAAGAAAATTTCCAATAAGTCAATTGGCAATAAACATTTGCGGGACGTTAACTCATGCTTACCACGATTGGGTGTCGATCAGGAATCTCACCGTCTACTTCGGCATCAAAAAGGTACTCGTCAAGATCATTGGCATGAAGGCTAACGATGAAGGGGGCAAAAAGTAGAATGGCCAGAAAAGATTTCATCGTGCAGCTGCAGGTCTCCTTGTAAATCCTTCGGAAGTTTTGGCCTGTGTTATGGTAGACTTTTGCAAAAGAGTGCTCTCTTTTATATCTATCTTTTGTTTTAGGTTTAGAAAAACAAATGCATTATTGAATTTTTCGTTAGAAATAATGGTTTATTCAGTGTGTTTGTAAACCAAAGGTGTGAACAATGAAGTTACTGAAACCTTTTACGGGGAAGGTAAACATTTTGAACAAAAGATTTCGCTAGTTTTCAATTGAGTCAGCAGACTCGCTTATTGAAGCTCTGCAAACAAAGCGTAATGTAAAAACGCTCTCAGAACCACCGATTCAATTCCTGTTTGCTAGATTTTCGGGAACTACGGCTAAACAACAATGATAGAAAACAAAGGCTTTCATAGCCATCGACTCTGTTATTGTAATTTCAGGTATGAAGTTTAAACTTTGCCGTAAATAAAGTGAGATAAAAACAACCACATCAGCGGAGAGAAAAAGGTTGATGGAAGCTCTTTACAGTTCCTTTTCAGCCAGCCTTTCCTCCGTGACAAAGGTTACCCAAATATTGCCGCAGGTGATTTTATGACAATTTTGTTTTCGCTGTTCAGTTTCTGACATGATTCCTTTATGTAGGCTACAATGGAAAAAAATTGAGCTATGAAATTATTAAAATTATAAGATCATTGGCAAAAATATGACTACACCATTTGCCAGTCACATGCTTCGCTGGGTTCTGGACCTCGTTCCTTGTTCTGAAACTCGCAATGAAAAAAAGGAATAAACGTGTAGCGAAATGTGTACTTACCATTTTTTTATTTTATTTTTTTAATTTGAAGACGTTCGATAATAAATCTGCATATCAGTCATGAGTTCATGAGAATGTTTCCGAAATCAGGAATGGTGGCATTGATTTGATGTAGAAATTGCGGGACTTCCGTGTATAAATATGGCCGAAATCGTTCGAAATCGTTAAAAAACAGACTACATTTTACACATCAGAGCATTTCCTTGCGCATTTTTTTCAAGCTTTCTCAAATAATTTCATTTACGGTCGCGCTTTGGACCCGTTAAGTTTAAGAAGTCTGCATGGTCAGGTGTGTCTGGTGATCTATTTTCGTCTCAAAATGAACACCTCCATAAAGTTTGAAACAAAAGAAGAGCATGAATCGTGAATGATCAAGGTTGAACAGTTTACGTTAGCTTTTTTAAAGTCACTGACGTAACTAATTTTATATGGCAAAAATAGTTTCTTTCGTTAATCATATAGAAACTTTCTATTCGGTTTTTCCAGTAAGACCAGAGCATCCTTCCAAGTGTCACTGTGGCAATTTTTAGCGAAATCTAAGTTGTCACAAAATTAAATTTTTTGCCCTGTCTCTGCGGCATGGGTGACTCGAGCTTGACTATTCCTCTCCAGTACACTAAAAAGGGGTAGCATGGTAACATCACAGAAAGCGAGTCTGCTCAGTTGACGGGATTCTGATGAAAAGTCCCTAGTCAGATGAATATTGGCATGGGTATATTAAGGATATGTGCCAGTTTAAGTGACGGTTGTGAATCCCAATGTGGTGTAGGCCAGGGAAACATTTTGCCACAGAGAAGGTTCTAAGTTTTATTAAAAGCAACAAGTGAACTTTAGAGCATTTCAGTAAGCTTGCTCCCAATAATTCCTGCATACATCGCCCTGTTGTAGTCAATCAGCTTTTCCACTGTCGGAGCCATAGCATTGAATGAGCTTCTTACGACACATATTACGTCCTAAACGTTTATAGCAAGATGACGTTTTATAAAGCTCCCGGCATTTTCTCTACGAAAAAACCAAACGACCATGAATAATTTTGCTACTTGGTGCCTACAGTGTACATAAATACAGATAGAGATTTGGTCTATAAAAACCATAAGAAAGCGTCTGAATTCCCAAAGTTTGTTATCCATAAGAGTATCAAGAAATATGAGAAGGCCTACGTGCTAACGGATACAACACGTTGATTAACTGGATGTCTATTAAGAATGAGGTGTCATGAAAATAATCACGAAAATGTACCTGAGCCCTTGAGCATGTGCGATCTACTCTTTTATTTTTATTCCCTTCTTTTTACGACAGGGAATTGTCTCATAGTTACATATATTATCTTAGGATTTACAAATTGATATATAGTTATGATAGTTAGGCCGCCATAGCGTTTGCTGATTCGAGTATCGCTTCAGGTTAATCATCAGGAAGAGAACTGTACAAGCAAAATTTTACCAACCGTGTATTGATTCTGACATCGATAAAACTGGAGTAAACATTCTTTCTGTCTCTCCCATATTTTGCAGCTGTTTTGGACACATACATGGTATTTTTGGAGGCATTGCTGAAATTCAAAATAAATAGAACATTCATAGAAAGATTAAAAAATATTAAGCGACCATTAGAAAGATGTAATTTAAGGCTGACGCTGTTTTCTGATTGAATGAAATACTCCTGGTGGGTAAGATTCCAATCCAACGTTTTTAAGCCTACAATTTCCCTTCTATGTACAATTTCAAAATAATATCCCTTGCTGGTCCTTGCTAAAATTCCTCGTTCCCCGCATTAGTTTTCGTGTTACGTGCCTGACATCTGTACCATGGCGCTGACTGATTAAAAACACGATTTTACACCTACATGCTGTGAGTAACAATGTCAGTGTCAATAACCTGGAATGGATGTAAGGTAGGTTTAATGCTGTGGCCTGACTCGTCCCCTCCTTCTTCCTCCTCCTCTTTGGCAACAAGCAGCCATAAATCGTTCACGTTGTTATTTTCAGCACGATCTTTCTCTCTTTTTGCTTCAAAGACTTCATCATCGGTTGAAACCAAACCCAGGGCGAAAAATAGACAAAAACAAAACAGAAACCTCATGGCTGTAAATTGAGACAACGATTAATAACTGCGTTCAAATGTGCGCACTTAGTAACCTTGTTACATAACGTTGTTTACGTGTTCAGGCAACTATGGGTGTGCTGTGCAAGGCAGTCTGCGTCATTTGGTTAGGCATTAACCCTTTAACTTTCATGAGTGACCAAGAGAGAATTTTCCTCACAATATAAAGTAGACAAGTGTAGAGAACAAAGAAAAATGTCAATCTTGAGATTTCTATTTGATCCAATATCGAATTCTCCTACCTAACATCATAATAATTGTATGGCAGACAGTAAGGAGAATTACTAATGAGATCTTGGGAGTGAAAGGGTTAAACGACTCTTTTTGTCTACTTTTCTAAACGCTCAAATAATTGCAGCAGGTATGACATGTACATTCAATCATTCTACAAAACAAAAGACGGATGGAAATATAAAAATTAAACAGATGTGTTTGAACCGCTCATTAACTGTTTGTTGTCAAAATGTCTCGTTGTATCCATGAATAAATTCAATGCCTTGTTAGTTGTTCACAGTACTGGCGCTAAGGTGTGTTTCAACGTAACAACTTTGAATAGCTAAACTACTTAATAATATTAACATTATTATCTCTTTGTCAGGCACAGTGGCGCATTTTTTGGGCTAAAATGTTCTTAAACGTAGGGTGGGAGGGATTCTTGTTTGGATGGGCTAGAGCTAGAGCCTCCTTGCCCTTGTAGTTCTGTTGAAAGACCAACAAAGCATGCGTCGTTCTCATTGCAGAAGGTACGATTCTGCTCAAAGAATGACTTTCAGTAAAACGTTTTTTTGTGCTAGGCCTTCACCTCAATAATTTCGATGGATGAATGCAGTATTTGATTTTAGGCTATGGGCTCTTTTTTTGTGTATTGATTAAAAAGCTGGTCCTCGTTGGTTCAAAACGCATGCGCATGCCCAACGCGTATTCAGGATTCTTTTTTCATATGGTTCTGTATTTACTCAACGTCGTAAATGTTTATCCAAGGATATTTCGCTCTGATCAAATAAAAATAGAGAAAACATAGAACTTGATAGGGGGAAAAAGGTAATTTTCTACAACACGCAATAAAGACAGAAGATCACATCGCGCTTATTTCAGATTATTTTTATTGGCGTCAACTAATTTGCATGAGTTCTATGAGTTCCTCATTCAGGCTTATGCCCATAGCATATTTTAAGCTTCTTCCAACACTCTTCTTTCCCGAGTGCTTCATAACATCCCTGGTTTCTGAACTTTTTCCTGCATATCCTCTGCAAAGTAAATTAAATAAAGTGAAACAGTGAATTACATGTTAGTGGTCCAAAATCAAGAGAAGAAAATTTAACGAAGACTGTCCTTGATAAGCTCCCCTTCCCATGTCTCTGGAAACCGTTGCCATGTTTTCGAAGGCGGAATAAATGGGACGTGCGGTAAACCAATCTAACATAAATACTGCATGAAAGCGCCACTTGAAAATTCCTTTTGTAATGATCGTCTCTTAGGTTGTTGTTAATGAGAGCTGCCACTTCTGTACATGTCGTAAAGAGTTATAAATTGTAGTCAAAGATATATAAATTTTAATTAATTGTAAATGCTTTACTTACTGTGTAGGCATTTAGGCATTCATAGTATTTTGGTAAGCAACCAAAACCCTCCCCGGACTCCACGCATGCGTTCCACTCATCCAAACAAACCTAATCACAAAGAAATGCTGCAGTTAAAACATAGGGCTCATTGTTTTAAATTGTAGGGCTTACGTATTTTATCGTCGATCTGAGTAGGACACATTTCGATTGAACTAACCACGGTAATCAACCTAACCAATGAGAGCAAAGAACAATATTACAAAAAGTCAGCGAGAGCTGAAGTGATTGTTTTGAAACAAATGTATTCCTAGATTTCTTTCGACCCTCAACTGAAAATATCTTTGATCAAAGGAGGTGGTGATTGCTTTCAGCTCGGACGTCTCAACACTGTACCGTGAGCACTGCATGCCGCACTCAGTTTCATTTTTGAGAAAAAGGGAAAAGTTAATACTCACGTCTTTCGGATGTTTTCCTCCTGGTGGTTGTGGCCCTGGGGGTTCTGGACCCGGAGGTTCTGGTCCTGGGGGTTCTGGCCCTGGGGGTTCTGGTCCTGGGGGTTCTGGTCCCGGTGGCGGCGGGAGTGGAGGTTCTTGGGCCAATACAAGACCAACCGCGAGGATTACGGCAAGCGAGAAAAGACTCTTCATCTTAGGAATCAGTTCCCTTCTCCAACAATCACACGGGAAGCTTCTAAGGTATCTGATCACCCAGTATACCTCGTATAAGTACTCGACGAACGATGGTGTGGACCAATAAGAGTTGATCCTCCTTCAATTCTCGTACAGATTTAAACATTTTCGTGATTGGTTAGTAAGTATTAGGTTAAAGAGAAATAGTATCAGCTGTTGCCATGTGGGAAGCTGTTTCAACAACAATTCGCCCAGCTGTCTGGATGTTCCGCCGGCTGTGTTTGCCCGAATTTGACTTAAGCTAAAAATATTTTCCCCTCGAAGCTTGGTTGTTACTAATATCTTTTTTTTTTTTGGTAATGAGGAAGGGACAAGAGTTTTCCACCTTTGGCCCAGAAGCACACAATCTAAAGGAAAATAAACAGTGCACCAAATGCTTATGCATTCATACTAGAAATCAACTGAATGACGCTGTGATAGTATCAAAGTATAACAGCAGGGAGGAAAAACTTGAAACCGCTTATTACATCTCAAAAATGTATGTTTCGGGCAGACATGAAGTCAATTTGCCTAAATATTGCAACCTTTGGATATAATTTGCAGCAAAAATTTGTCAAGAAGTATGTGATTTGCAAGGGTATGTCAATATTTGTTTCTTTAATCAGTTGCTGGGAAAAACTAAAAAAACCTGCAGCTGATTTTTTGCAGCCTTTACCTCACTCCAGCTTATCAAAATATATATCTTGCTACATACACCGAGGAGATTGTTTGTTCCAAAAGATATATTTCTTCCTTTATTTGTTTAAATTTATTCCTAAAATACATCGTATTTAATCATTTACCTACGCATCAGATAACTATTTATCGATGCCGTGGGTACTTAGCAGGTATAATCATTTGATCGATATATTTCCAAACGTTAGATTAGTTCAGTGTAAAATAGAGTAACATAAGACAAAAACACAGGGGATGGAAAAAGATAAATGGAAGAAAAGAAAAGGAAAAAGTTAAAAAAAGAGATGAAAGGCACTTTTGAATTAGCAGCTTAGCTATCCCAACGATGTGTTCTCTTTTCTTGGATATAATCTCTGGATTGTATATAATTTTTTACTCTGCGTCATTGCGGAATTATACCCATACGAGAATACAATATTACTTTCTCTAATATTTTCATTTGTAAGGAACCCATATTAAACGACTGAAGACTGAGAAAACTCAAAATGTATTGCTCATGTACTCAAAACAGATACTGACTCTCTTCATATTTCATGCCATGCAGCAAGGAACGCTTTTCTCCTCAGAATTGTATTTCTTCCTTAAAAAAAGATCAATTTGTCTATTAATCTTAAAATACTGTGTGATTTAATGCTGCCGATACGCTCTAAAGTAAAGTATTTATCAGCATTTTTAAAGCCTAAAAGTGATCGACCTATACTTACATAATCGAAGCTAATCTACAATTATGGTAATGATCTTTAATTCTGTCCCATAACTTATCTATCAAATTTTTGATAACTAAACATTTCCATTCTTGTCAAACTGTAAGCTACTGATAACTTCTGTGCTCGTTCATCGGAATCTCCTGTTGAAGAAAACAAAGGTGGTTCAAGTCACGACAAAGCTCAAACATAAATTCCAATCTGTGATAAAGTGTTTTTTTCCTTTCTCACTTTTCTCCTTGCCTAGATATCCTTCTCTTTTAGCCGGGATGATTTTAATTGTTTAATAACAGACCTGTCATTATTTTTGCTCCCTTTTTGGTTGTTTGTTTGTTTGGTTGGTTTTTTTTTTCATTATATATCTTCTTTTGATAAGGTAAATTACGCTCAGGCTAGAGATCTTATAATTAGGGCCATTTCATGAGATAACAAACCTGAGACACCAGATATCAGAAACAGACTTGGCAGGATTTTGGACACACTCTCTGCACGGATTGTGCATCAATGATATCGTTCCCCTTTTCACAAAGGTTATCTGTATTCCATTGTTTGCACAGATCGTGGTGGTCTTTGCAGTATTCAGCTGTAGTAATGAGGAGTGGAATTAGCGAAAATATATATAATCTGCATATCATGCACCTTTGCTATCTCTATCCTGTTGAAACTACGAAACAAAGAGACACTGAAGGTTTTCGGGAGAGATAATATGCACGGACAGGATAAGGAAAAAATGACCTTGTCCATAGGAACACTACGCAAAATTCTGTTTTCTTGGAAAATGGTGGTCAACTGTCGAGAAACGTTGTAGGCATTAATTTTAGAGATTAACGTCCAATCGTAGATATAAACCAAAAGGGTGCGTGACGAGGGTACTTAAATTGAAAAAAGGAAAGGTAGATGTACATGTAGAGGATAGACAATCAGGCGTGCACGTTTAGTGCGACAACAATGGGAATACTTACTATCGTGGTGTCCATTTATGTTGTAGATGATAGATCTGTAAGCAGCCCTTACGTCTTTCTTTGTTCCGCCAAGCCGACGTATCAACGAATAAAGCTTTCTTCTTATATCCTGAAAAGAGTGACCTTACTATTATCGGATGGTTAAAGATTTTGTAGCCACCTCATAATAAGAAATCGGGGTTTGACCACAAGGCGATAGGTGTTGAAAGAATATATGATAGATTCTTTGTACAATTACCTTCCTGAGCTTTTCTTTCTCAATCTCATCTTGTTGCGATTTATTTGTTGCAGTTGAGTTGTGTTCTATTGCATATTGTTGTTCTGTGCTGCTATTTTCCAAATTCTTTTGTTGGCGAATCATTTTGTATTGATCCAACTGCTTTAAGGTAGCTGCCAGTTTACTTGGCTGTCTTTCTTGTTTCATGGTTGGATCTATTGTCATTTCCTTGCCAACATTTGAATCGTTTTTTACGTGGTTGATTCCAGGTAGTGGCTGCTGCTCATTCGTAATAGTTTGATTAGCAGCAGTAGATGAATTAGATACCATTACATCAGGATCAGGATCTGCATATTTAAAAATTTTAAATATTCCGTTACAAAACCTTCATCACTTACGAAAGTTTTTTAGGAATTAAAGCACTGAAGTAAATGAATGTATAGATACGTATATTGAGGCCGCTCAACGTTTCAAAAACTAGACTGACACGCTCTTTGAGAAGACTATAAAAAAATTATAAATAAAAATTGTACCTGAATCTGGTCTTGCAATAAGTTTCCCTCCGACAGCTGTAGATTCATAAATCATTAAATTATGTAAGTGACTGCTACAAAACTGAGTGATATATTGCAATCGCAGAACTTGATATGTTCAACCTCAGTTACAACTTGTAAATGTTAATGGCGATCTTGGTATAAAAATGAGGGCGTTTAATTTTTGTCAATAAGGTACTCAGCTTGTTCCCATAAATTATTATGAAAGATTTTATTCCTCTATTGGGAAGCGATTGTAGTATAACATACGATATCAACAAAGAATATTTATTGAACATCTTGGTATTAAAATAATGTGGAGAAAGTAGGCCTCACAACTAAAAAAGTCGGCAATATCGCTGGTTTTATCGCTTCGCTGATACAAATCTTACCTCTGCACATCCTGAAGGTCAGCAGCGGTCTAATCATAGGTAGCAGCTCATATTTGGATACAGCCAGCACGTGATCTTGTGCAGGATGTGTTGCTATCTCTTTCAGCTGCCCCCCTTCAAACCCAGACCCAATCCCCACGGCCTCAATTCGAACTCCTCGGTCACGCATCTCACGTGACGGTACTGCGATGTCATCAATTGATGATGCAGTGGCCAGGACAAGAAGAAGTTGAGGAATACTTTTACGACCACTATTCTTAAACCAGCTGGTTTTTACGCCAGTTAGACTTGATCCTGCAATGAGTAATAAAGAGTATATTGAGATAAAATTTCAAATAATAGTTCATATCTATTTTTTTTTTCATGTCATGGGAAGGTTATCTGTTAAATATTCACACGAATTTGGAATATTTAGATACATAAATGTAGTGTAGGTTCTCATAAAGCCAAACCAACAAGTAATTCTCACTTTTTAATTGTTAACAACGGAAGTCACCGTTATGGTTCTGCTTACCACGTTACTCTCAAGTCACCTCTTTAAATGACGTTTAAGCTTTAATCCGTAACTGGCTTAAATCAATAAATTTGATGGTCCACTTGCCCAATTACCTAACAAAAATGGTCCACCATTGTATGATATGCGGGATATTGCTGTGTCGAGGCTCGGAATGTCATTGAATCCCTCAAAATCAAAACTCATGCGCGGACCTCTGGACGCGGTGGCAACTGCAATGTGGGTGTGATCCTTAGAGACTGAGAAGGATTTAGACAGGCTCTTTGTAAAGTCTAACAACTTGGCGAAGTTAGCTTCCGTTACTGATGACGAGCCATCAATCAGGATTCCAATATCGGCTTTTGCAGAGCAAACTGTAACACCAGAATGCATCATTAGCAGGGTTTAAGGGAAGAGTAAAACCAACATTTTTGTGAAAGTGAAATGCAGTGGTGGTTCTCGTTATTATGTAAGATTTAGGAAACTGGTTACCAATGGAATTAAGATAGAGAATATGAAAATATATCTTCTGTACAATTGTCTCCGAGCACCCGTTTTGCACCAATGCACGAGCATCGACAGGAAAACGTTGAGAGCACAGTAAGAGGTAGGATGGCGAGGAGGAAATAATAAATTTAATAAAACGTATCACACAATCAAAATATCTGACCCTTGTAAAAAATCCATATACGAAAAAGAGCCTAAAGTTCAAACTCAGTAGAAAATTATATATTGAACTTTTTTGAAGTAGCCACAGCATTTGGCTAAAATGAAAACTTCGAAAATTCTTGAAATTGCAAACAACGGGTAAAAATTTGCGCGAACAAAGCTCGATACAATTAACTAACAACTCTGTAAAACAAATGACAAAAGTAGGCGAAAAATGTGCACGCCAGTTTTCAATGTCTAATTTGCGAAATCACGTGCGCCGCGTGTGAATACAAAAAGAATGAAAGGAGGGCAGAGGAAGAGGACAATGTAAACTGAATTTCAAAAACGAAAGATATTTTCTACAGCTCTTTGGCCAGCACATAGGGCTTACCTTTATTTACTAGGTCCTTGAGTGCAATGTGTTTATTATTGGATTCTGTAGTGCTCTCTAAAATGAAAAACGGGATAGAGAAATTCAGAGTGGTTTCACTACTTTCAAAATTGAATTTCAAAAATAAAAACACTTTGAGGTGATGTCTTCATTTGTGAAGTGAAAACTACAGATTACAAATGCCTAAGGTACTTTTTCATTAAAAAAATCAGAAAGACTTGCAACGCCATAGATTTTTTAATAATTTGGCCACCTAAAAATTTATCTTTTTAAGTTGATTCGAAAAAATTAACACCTCCTTTACGAACAGTTATTGAAAACCAAGCCTGTTTAGATTACAATATGCAACTGCCTCCAGCAAAGGTTCGAGTCGCCAGAGTCGCGTAATGGAGTGGATTCCTCCTCTACCATTCATGCCACGCATTATCGTTCACTAGTGCCTGATTTTCAGGCTAATTAAAAGCCAAAAGTTATTTTTATGCTGGTATCATTTGCCATCACGTATCTGCAGGGTATATAGTTTATAACTTTCTATCCCACATATAGAAAGTTTGCGTCCGTCTCGATATTTTCGGAAAGTATGGAAGCACCAAGATGGCAGAGGGCAACAGAATGTCGATCATAGACCATCTGAATTATGCAAACATTTCGGTTGATTTCTTTCGTCCGTACTTTTTTTTCTCTTCGGTTATTGAAAAAAAAAGGGGAATAGAATGGTACCTGTTGTCATGTTAGCACTGCTGCTGTCATTTGTAGTTGACTCATCTCTTTCATCATGGTCATGGTATGGGGACGTCCCATTTTGAGGGATTGAGTTTGGTTCTGTCTTGTACATTTTAGATGTTTCTCTGAATGGTTCTATTGTTCTGTTGTCTCGGTAGCTGCTCTCGAACAGCGCATCTAAGATGTTAGAGTGATTTGACGGAGGATTAACCATCGCGTCCTCGAAGGTGTCATCATCGCTTGAGGTGCTTTCCACTTGTGCTTCTTTTCTATTTGTAGCATCATGGCTGGGGATGGGCTTGCGAATTGCATGCACTGCAAATAAAGATACGAGGCATATGTTCCATACTTTATAGATGAAAAATTCATACCGATTCATATACATGGATATCAGTGGCAAATCATGAGGCATGGTGTAGGTGTAACCTCGCTTATCAGCTTTTGGGGCATATGTGATCACAAAAAAATAATATTTCATGTGAAAGACGTAATGCAGAAATATGAATAGATCGTTGCTACACATGTTCTGTTATCCTGTCGATTTCTCTTTTAACCTAGCTATTAGGATAGGAGTAGTGCAATGAAGGGCTTTTTGATTCAAATTCTTAAAGTGAAAAGAGTCGAATCGTGCCAGCTGCACTTAGCATCAAGCGTCAACATTTTTTTCGGATAACGCGTAATTTCTTAGCCCTGTTGTCGACCTTCTTCATTGTTGGTTTGTTTGTTTTTCGTTCGTGTTTCATCTCTAATAAGAGAGAGATGAGGCAGAGCTTGAAAGAAAGAAAAGGAAAAAGATATCCTTCTATTAGGTCCATTTTTACCATATGTCCACTCAAGAGCAACAGATGGATTTAACTAGTGACCCAGTATGAAAACCGTACCACGCTCAGCAGGTTCATTTATGTGTCGACAATAATTTGCCATCAAAGCCGCATATTAGGCTTCTTAAAAGATGGAGAAAAGAAAAACAATGAAGATTCCCACACAAAGAATGAAGCCATTATCTACCATCGGCATTCTTCTTTTTTCCTGATTTCCTTGCTTTTCTGAGTAAAAGCTTTTTCAAAAGAGCGTCCAATCCACCGCAAAAATTTTTCTCGTAAATTTGAGCAACTATTTTGCTTGCAAGTTTCACGGCCTCCTTAAAGTCACCGTGGAATACATGTGTTGAACTCGGATAACTAGCAATTTTTTCCAATTGACCAAGTGAAATCTTGTTTCCGAACCCAACGGCAAATATTTCCACGCCACTTTTCTCAAGCGACTTCAAAGGTTGTGTTACGTCATCTGAAGACTTTCCATCTGTTACCACAATCAAAATATGAGGGACGTTATGTCGGCCACTAGGATTCAAGACAAGTTCTCTCACGTCGGTCAAGCCTTGGCCTATTTTCTGATCACCAAATGGAAGCGGTATCAGGCCAATAGCACTAAGTAAAAGTTTCTTTTTAGTGATTCTGTTGAAGTCTACAACAACGTGAAACGTTCTTCCCTCCACGACAAGACCAAGCCTTGATTCCAATTTTGAGACATCAAAAGCATCAGCCACATATTTCATAAACAAAACAGTGCGAATCCAGTTAGGAACACCCATCTTCCCGGAGCTCTGAACAAGAAACACGAGATCCACCTTGTTAGCCCGTGGACCTGCGAGGCAATAGATTTGGTTGGATTCCTCACTCAGGGACATTTGGCTTCCTATCTCTACACTGGCAGGGAAAAACAACGTCATGTGTTGGATAAACTGATCCAGTTGTATATCTGATATATTGACATTTTTGATTAATTGATTATAGTTCTATGAACAAAAAATGATGTGTTACCTTTGTTTTCGTCAATATTTGGCTTCTTCGGCGAATTTATTGCTGATGAGACAATTTTCATGATTTTGAGTTAAGTTTCTCAAGTTTTTCCGTGTCAGGGGTTAGGAGTCGGCCTTATTTTTAATCCAGACGTTGTCCTTACATGCATTTTGTACAGTCGAGTACTCAAGTGGTCAAAGTTTCAAAGAAATTTTAAATGAAATGCGCAAACGAGAAGAGTTTTTTTTAAAATAGTCTTCTACAAAAATTTTGTTAAACCTAAACCTCAAAATTTTTCCTCGCAAATTACACGATTCTACGAGATCGAAAGCTTCAATTTTCATGTTAAACGGCGGATAAACTCGAAATATTATTAGAAAAAGATCGACTCCGCGCTCGCAAAGCTAAACATCTCAAACTAGAGAACTTTGTTCCAAAGTGTGGACCAACTCTAATTCCACCTTTTGTATTAAACCCTTAAATCTTGCAACATTTTCTCATGACTCGAAAAAATGGAATACCTCTTACTAATCTATCAAGAAAACCTACCATTTGGAGAGTTCGAGATGGCTCCTGTATCGGTTTCTTCGCTTGGAGTCTCTAAAACAGATTAAAAAAATTATTCGTTGGAATTTTTTTGGAGAATTTGCGACAACACTTAGTAAGTAAGCTATTAAAGTTATCAACAAAATTTCCAGTTTGCCCCCTGAAAAACATTTTGCTCATCGACTCTAATATAACTCTCGTATAAGTTATTACCATCTGGCGTTACAGTGATAACTTCAGGATCTGGCTCCTCGCTTGGGTTCACTTAAATAATTTGAAAGAAAAAGAAAACGTCAGTCAACACTCAGTTACTTTACTCACTTATTATTTTAGGATTTGACAAGGTCTGCAAGGTGGGAAGTGGAGGAAGGGGGGGGGGAATCAAAACTTGTGAACATCGTGATAAAATAGTCAGGTTTTGATACTTGTAACATAGGATAAGATAGTAATTGCGTTCTCTATTGCTCTCTTTGAAATTAGTACCATTTTTGCCTTGAAAGAAAAGCAAAATCACAGTGCAGTTAAAGTATTTAAGCTATTCCTGTGACCTTTCTGGGACTACTTCTGTAGGTGCAAGGATTTCAATAGATACTTGGCACAGGATTTCAGTGCGTGGCTAAGGAATCAAGGACTAAATGGCAATTTAATCGATAGTGCGATAGTGTATGTAAGACAACCCGGGAAATTAGTTTGCTCTATATATTATTAATTCTTGATGGGCATTGACGGAAGCTTGCAATTGGAAGGTAGAGGAGTAAAGTCAAAATATTTTATAACGATTGACTGAGTCTATACTTACTCGCTGCTTCAGAGTCACCCAATGTCACTTCTGTTTGCACTTTGGTTCATAAGAAAAAAAAAAGACGTTAATTTTAACATTTTAGAGAGATAAATGTTGCAGAATACTGCGTCTCTGTCAAGTTTATTACTTATATTTTATGATTCTCACTTCCTGATTTGTCAAATTTGCCATTATATTCTGTTCTGTAACTTCAGATTTTGAGCGTAAACCGGCAGCTCGCATATTTGAGAAATCAAGTCATATGGCTCATCAAAAATGATCGTTTCCATACTCACTCGCAGAGTCTGAGTCATCTGGTGTCACTTCTTCCAATTGCACCATGTAAAGTAAGAAGAGAAACGTGAACATTTACTTTTGATATTACAAAGCGATCAATGTGACAGAAAATTGAGGTAAAGCTTCATTCTCGACATTATATTTTTTGACGGTATTTCAACGATTTCTCCATGTTATATTTCAATACATTCCTCTTCTACCCACATTGATGTATGCTGGGACTAACATGTGTGCACCGTGGTCAACATAACAAAATTAACCGATCTAAAGAGAGAACAACTCCGATTACGGTGCAAGGTGACTTTTGCTATCTTTGAGTTCCAATAGCCCTCAAAGGAAAAAATAATGATATAAACAATTACTTGTCACATCAGCCTTCAAGCAACGTTTAATATTAAAAAAGGGTAACTGAGAGTAACAAACCTTGGGAGCTACTTCCTTCAATTACATCTGGCAGGGAACAAAAAGATAAAAGCAAAATGAAGAAATTTCTGATTTTGTAAAAGGAACTATTTAGCGTATAAATGTAAAAGCAAATATATCATTAATTAAGGGCTATTGATTACTAAAGCAAATAGTACTCAAAACATTAAGTTCGAATAAGCTCTTGTAAACATGTTCATATTTACTTCAATAGTGCAAGGGGCCTCAATTTCAAGGTAAGAAATAATGAACATTAGAGAGAAACTCGAGCATGGAGATCATAAGAAAACTAGAAAACCGCTCAAGATGGAGTAAATAAGGACTATAGATCGAAATTTCAACAACATGTTCTTGCTTGACATTAATTCAAAAATAGAAATATTTACCTCGGCATAGTTTTGGGGCTAATTTTGTCTCCAAAGTGTCCAAATGATTTTCATCTGATATCAAAGTATTCTGAATATCTGAAGCTGAGTCACTCATTTCTAAAGGATCGTTTTCACCACCAATCCCCACTGTAAGAATTTTCACTCCAGCATCCTTCAGATCCTTCACAGCGTGACCAATGGCGTCTTCCGATCTTTTGGATAAAAGAACAATTAACGTCTTTGGAATATTTGGACGCGCGCTTTTATCGTATAGCTGGTTCTTGGTAAACGAAAGGGCCTCTCCAAGGTTGCTCCCAGCAATGGGCGTTTTCACTTCTTCAATGGCTTGCGAGAGACTCGATATTTCAAAGTATTGGTTGAAGTCAAACGCCAAATAAGGCTTCTTGCCATACACGACGAGGCCAATATGGGTTCCCGAATCGGAAACCTTTGCCTTTTGTGCCATATTTCTTACAAAGCGTAATGCTTTTCTGAACGTCATTTCACTCTTGTCCTTTGATTCTTTATAGCTGCCTGATACAAGGAAGCCGAGTTCCATAGTAGGGGTGTTGCACGCTTTGCTATCATCAAAGAGTTGACCTGTATATATAACATAAGAAATTGAGTTCCGTTTTTCACCAAATTAACGAACTATGATTGCTGAATTTGAATGAATTGCGTTGAGCTTTTAAAATATAGTATGATTTTTACCATTTGCGCTTCACACGAGGCAAACAATTCCCCTCTCCATAAATTAGCCAAAAACAAAAATTAAGTTTTTTGGATGGCAGACTTAACACAAATTATTTTATTTTGTTCCAACCGCTGATTTTGTTCCCTGCATGAGCTTACCTTCACTCAACAAAATGGCTCTGCTACGGCTGGACCTTGGAGCTTTCGATTCGAAGAGAAGTTAAGTGCATTAACCAATCGACATTGCGTCCACCTTAATTCAATTAGCGTGATACATGTTTATCTTACCCATTAAATTCGCCACCTCCTGAGTGTCATTGACTTTTGACCCTAAAAGAAAATAAATACATTTCCTTTGAGATGGTGTGTGCGAACAGCAGCTCAGGTGGAAGCCTTATGTTGTAGCGCATAGTTTGCTTAAAATAAAAGATCTTTGAAATCATATCGCAAATTGGTATTTAAGCACGACTCACACGAATGTTCACTTTCTTTAAGCAATTGATGAAAAATTTTTCGAAATGTGATCTGACGATGACCAACTTCTACCGCTATACTACATTCTATGGACGGAGAAGCACTACTTTTTCTTTGTATAAGCGGATATTAGTTATTGAAGGCCACTGTTTTATATCCTGGTTGATTTTCTATGTTGGCAAGATATTACCGTCAGCTGATAACCACCCTACAAGCTACGCTGTGTCAATTCTATTATGAAAATTCGCGCGTCGTGGGAATCTTAATGACTCTTAATAATGTTCAGATGAAACGATGCGATGGATAAGATTAAAAATGTTGATGTTCATCTCCTCAGGGGCTTGGAGAAAGGATAATACATCTATACTATAGTTCGCATACTGGACTAATGAAGACCGTGATATATTCACAATGTTCATCTTTTACTGGGGATTTTGTCCAATTGGGAACGAAAGTTTAAGTTTTCAGGGCACCTATTCACTGAATATTCATTATGGCCATTATAGAAATTATAAACATTCCAGCCTCTTTAAAGAAGAGACGCATATGCCAAACCTGACGACAAAATGGCGATCCAATGAATCGTAAACACGAAGTAACCAAGTGATCGGAAAGACGATCCTTTTTCATGCAAAAACATGGTTGATATAGTTTTACAGGCACTTGAAATGGCAAGTGTTATCTCGAAGATGGCACGCTTAATCACATTGTCTCCTCCCAATTTGTATAACATTCAATCCTTTCGGTCTTTCTTGGGAGAACCTTAAACAAAGGCTTCAGAAAAGTGCACCAGTCGCTTTGTTAAAATTTTTTAGGGTTAGCGAAATTTGATATTTTGATTTGTGATCAATCTAATTGGTAGTCATGGGATGGCACCTAACTGACATCTGTCAATAACCTGTTGTAGCTTTTAAAACAACTTAATTCCTTTCAAAAAGCTAAATGAAAACTAATGTGTATACACTGGGGAGAAAATCATTAGGGACAATTTCAAATCTGCTTTCTTGAGAATTTTTATTCCTGATTCACACAGCATGTGGAAGACAACCAGCTAGAATTCTGTTTCGTATAGTTAAAGCATATCGATTTGAACCACTCAGCGCTCAGTAACTGGCCTATCTTAAAAACAAAGGTAATCCAAAAATAAGGAAATTAAAATAAATGAAGTAAATAGATGTGCCGATTTAAGAAGAGTTCTTAGCAAATGTTTGGACTTGATTTGCAAGAAAATAAATGAAATACAAAGATATGCCTATTCAAGAAGAGTTCTTAGCGAAGGTTTGCATTGATATGCAAAAAAATAATTCGAGATGGTAACGTTCTTTTAGTGAAACAAACAAAACCCATAATGAACGCAGCAGCGCATTCTAAAAATAATGCAACATCTTAAAATCACCCACTTGAAAGCGAAAATTTGTGAATAATCAATCATCATGCACAGCGGTGGCCATCTAAAAGTCTGAATAAGTTTACAAAGAGATGAATTCAGAAATTGTTCTAGACACTACACCAGCAAAAAAAGGGGGGTCGAACTCAGTTGAAAGAAAAAAGCAACGAAAACAAAGCAAGTAAATTAACAAAAACAAACTAAGTTTCAATCGGTCCCCCGCTACCCCCTACAAGTTGGATGTAGTTCAGTATGCAAGGGTCCAACGAGTGTGAAACCGGTTTTTAGTCGTTGGCTAAACTTTGACTCAATTTGAACTGCTTGTATCACGCAATTTTCATATTAGAGTTTCCACAGACTCTTCTGGCGTTTCGTTAGTACAAAAAAGCTGATTTTACACCTTTGTAAATGAGTTTAAGTAGTAAGCTCCAGAGAAAAGCAGCGAATGAAATCTCCTCGTTTCATTTTAGAGTCGTTGTAGTGCATGTGTAGGGGTGGAATCTAACTTCACGCCTGAATAATTATTTGCAAATCATGGTCTTTTGCGATCTGTAATTGGCCAAAGCTTTCTGCTCTGCTCTGGTTCGCTATTGTGCCGACCAGTGTCATTATCAGGTAACGTTCTCAGCAATATCGTGGTCTCTTAAGCAAAGTTACAGGTACCAGAAAAATAACTGGTTGTAATGATTCAACAAAATGATCGTCCCCAAAACGTTAACCACACCACAAAATGACTTCCAAAAAGTCATATGCAAGAAATTATGTCTATGGGTGAGATTGATCCTTTCTTCTTAATTGTACGTGGTTAAATATGGAATAATTTGCTTTCATCTCCTCCGACAGGTCGGCTCTTGAGAATCATCTTGACCTTGATTGCATTTTGCTTTCCTGCTGCTCTCTGTCAGTTAAATAACATTATAAAAGGTCAAGTATGATACTTATGTACTTAAACAGCGCAAAAGTAGCAACATACAGAATTGGATGTGTAGAATAGAAAGTTGGTTTATTACTGTTGCTGAAAGAAACGTAAATAAACAATTTCCATGCTACCTGCATCGGAAAGATATATTATGCGGGAGCTCCAATTTGTAACGAAACTTCGAGAGGTTAATGAGATTAATTGTTTTAAACATGTCGAGTACGCCACTTGCCAGCCGATTGTACATCCAGCAATAGATGCCATAACTGATCCAGTCAAGACAATTGTGATAATTGACATATTTAGTCACAATACAGCTCGTGTCGAGTTTCTTTAAGCGAGTCCATGAAATGATATTCATATTCTAGTGTAATACTACTACTTATCTGCCATTTAGTGGTCAAAGATAAGTTCAAAATGTTAATGTAGCTAAGAGACAACTTCTCTCTTCTCTATCACTGCCGTGTGAAGACTCCCGTACAAATTTGACCACCACAGATTTCAATATAGGACCCAGATAATCATCACAAAAACTACACGATACCGGGGATTTAATTGACTACATATTGGTGTCTGTTTTCACATCTGCAAAGAAAAATCGTACGAACGCAACTGCATGTCGTGACATATAAGCACCTGCAAAATTTAGACGTAAAGAAAATCCCTTGTTACCCTCTATGCATGACCTATTTGTCTATTCGCCATTAAGCAGTCAGAGACGACATATGTTGTAATTAAATATGCTTAAGGAAGTCTACCAAAGAACTGCTTTTCATGATTACTGCGATCAAATATGCTATTATAATTATCACTGGAATAGCAGTGAGGATAGATGTATCATACCTCCAATGTCACTAAAATGCAATTATATTTTCCTTTAAAGCAGATAGAAAAAACGTCAGACTCCTTCCAATCAGCCAAGATGGAAAGTTTATGCGTCTTCCTCTACAGTTCCGCCTTAAAACCAAACACAGCAGGGAGCTGACGTCAAACGATAAAATCAGAAAATTTCCTTCGACCAAAAAACAAGTTAACAGAGCAAGGTTTAAACGCTCAATTTCACAAAACGCAGACGATCCCTCCTTAAGTCGGCTCACAGACGACTTAGAGCAACTAACAGAGCTATTGAAATCAAGGGAAGAAAAGCCTCAACATGTTACCGTCATTAATAACAGTGACAAAAGAGCCAACACTGCAGAGGGTAAAGTTAGTTAAAATTGTCATGTACGAAAGCTTACAACTTTTGTAGACTGATACAGAATGTTCCGTCCGATGCAAAGGTTTTTTCGCACTGTAAGTGTTCAAACCATGCTGATCTCATAACTATATGATTTTCTAAGGGAGGATACTTCATCAGAGTGGCCGGCATGTCATTTTCCTCTTTTAACAATTGATAGCAATTTGACAAAGGTTGTTTTTTTTTCAAAGGCAAGACATCTTCCATCTTTGTTTGATTCATCATGTTCAGCTTTAATCTTAAAGGAGTGTGCGCCGTAAGGTAAAAAATGCAATTATTTCTAAGATACACCTCCATTTCATTTTCCTTATGATTTAGGTAACGTTCTTGCTTTTGACCTCGTATTTGTGGTGGATGGGTCCAAGGATATAGATGATCAAGGAACCGGAAATTTTAGGAAATGCCTTGAGTTTACGAAGGAAATTCTCCGTTCATTTCCAGTTTCAAAACAGGGTGTACATACTGGAATAATAACGTACGGCAGAAAAGCGCTCGTGGATATTAATCTCGACACATCTTTGGATCAAACGGGTATAGAAAGCGCTATTGATGCGATTCCATATTCTGGTGATGAGTCATATACTGGTAATGCACTTGATACAGCCATGGGGAAACTCTTCCCACACAGTGGCCGCGAAAAAGTGGCACACATCTTAGTGGTAGTTAAAGGAAGCATCTCACAGGATGAAGTGCAGTCGTCTGCGCAAGAACTGAGGGACTCTGGTGTACGGATCTTTTGCATCGGCGTTGGAAAAAGGTTTGACCAATCGCAGCTGGACTTAATTGCTAGTTCACCATCTGGTACTTATGTGATAACAACTGAATTTAACACCCTGCGAAATGTGGTGCCGACTCTTTCATCGCGAATTTTGTCAGGTAAGATGCCCTTTCCCCCCACAGGACGCATGTTGCTGAGAACATGGAAGTTAGTTCCTCTAGTGGGAGGGCCGAACGGGAAAATATTTCGCTGGAGGTCCGTGTGTGATGACCAATGGCCAAATATATTCCCTTCCTACATGACAGAATTGAGCAATAATTATTTTATCGTTTATCCACCAGATTTATTAATTTTTAAAGTACGTTTGAGCCTACTAAATAGGGCATTTATATAACGGACGAACGCTGGCCACAAAAAAAAGATTCAAGACAGAGCAAAAAAAAAAAATCTTCGAAAAACGCGACTTATTTCTCAATTCTGTTTTATTTTAAATTGGAAATATACGTTGTTATAATAAATCACTCGCAATAGACCACTATGTGAATGGTTGTATTGTTTAGTACTTTACCAAGCAAATTTACAGTTCTCAGCGAACCGACTGGAAAACAGACTCCAGCAACCACTGGGAGCCTATGGACAGATGGAGGAATTGTTGGTAAGAAAGACCGTAAAGTGTAAATTTTGTAGATAATGGTACAACTTTCTTCTCCTTTTTTCGCGACCTTACTATATTCGCGGCAATGAGATCAAACTTTTCGTTGATGATTAAAAAGCATTCAAGAATTCAACTCAACGAATTAAAGGGAAAAACATCACAAGACAGGTCAATTTCGATAGGTGACTGACCTCTGGGTTGTAGGGCATTCTTTTACGCCCTCAAACTTGCTCAATTGTGTATGATCATCGAGATCTAGTAGGTATGTTCAGCGAAAGTTATTTAGTTTATTCCACTAATCCTAAGCTAATGAGAAATAACAAAAAAGGAAACTGATGCTAAGAAGAATTCAAAATTCCCTCACATTTCACATTTTCATCATTTCTAGAGACAAAACATGAATTGCAAACCTAATTAATTTACAAAGGTTTTTTCAATACTTTCCTCTGTTATAGTTAGGTTGCTCTGCAGATATTTATCATTGGATTGACCTTTAATTTTTTTGTTTTCAAGAGGCCAAGATCGACTTAGCCTTTTTAATTGATGGTTCAGACACTGTTGGGGAAAGAAACTTTCGCATTTCACTTGACTTTGCGAAAACCATTGGCGACTCGTTTTGGACTCAATTTGGCAGCCTTCATCTTGGGCTCGTGGTGTTTGGAGCGGATGCGAGTGTCATTTTCGATTTTGATAACAGTTATAAGGACATTACAGATATAAACAATGCCATAAGTAATGCAGCATTTCCAGGTGGAGGAAAAGTTATGGTTGGAGATGCTCTAAAATGGACTGAAACACATTTGTTTGGTAGCAAACACCAGGATTCCTATAAAAGGATTCTTGTCGTAATAATTGGAAGTAGCTCTGGGGACGACGTATTCCTTGGAGCAGAAATGCTTAAAGAAAACTCAGTAACTACATTTTGTATTGGTGTAGGCAGCAATTTTGAGAAGACGCAAATAGATGGAATAGCGTCTTCACCAAGCTCTGATAACGTTTTGACAGTTTCCACCTACCCAGGTCTTGCATTTTTAAAACAACCTCTTATTCACAAAATCGAGCAAGGTAAGATTATCCTAGCTATCCCCCTAAGTTTGAATTGTATAATGTCTTCTTAATTCTGTCTCTTTAAGAACTTCAGTTGATTATCATTTTGTTCATTCTGAAAGTACACAGGCGGAAAACTCGTAATTTTTTTCTTTTAATGTCTAATAATATACACTTTACCTACGTTAGCAGCTCAAGGTGGCCACCTGCTTTGAGCATGAGCATTTGCAGCTCTTGAAGAAGAAATATTTCCCAGAATCTAAGCTAATTGTGGGGATTTGATTTGACAATTTCAGCACGCACGACATACATTCCACCGAAAGATCCCAATGGGAGATTTCAACGTTATATACCTGGACAGGCAGGGGCAGAAGCAGTTTTACTTCAAGGGAGGATGCCGCCAGGAGGTGTTACTGGGTTTCCGCTAGCAGCACGAGTGCCACAAGCAGGAGTACCACCAGGAACGATATCACCAGTTGGTGTACCACAAACTGGAGTACCGCCACCTGGGATACAGCCAGCAGCTGTTATCCCACCCAGTATTCCACCAGTAGGATCCCCCCCAGGGAGACTACCTCCAGTTGGACCATCATTAGTTTTACCTACTGCTCCAGTGGCCTTGCCAGGGGGACAAGAACCCGGAAATGAGGCTCTGAGTAAAAGGCCCCTGCACCCGAATCCAGTAGTTCCTTCTCTTGTACCCGTCGAAGGTATGTAACAGTTGCTAATTAAAGTGAAATAAACAGGGAGACATAATTAATCACACTTCTGTATTAAATCTCATATTCTACGAGTTACTTCTTCTATTACAACCAAAAAAACGCTCTCTCATTTGAAATAAAATTCTAAACGAAACTTTATCGTATTGGAGTTAAGGTTTGAAAATTAGGGGATATCAGATGGTGAATATCTTCGTAAATTCCACAGTTTTAGCCGAGGCATATTTGGTAATGATATGTGTCATACCAATCGTGCGTGAGCAAAATTATGTTATGGATTGTAAAATCAATTATTCCTGGATGGACTATCACATAAGCATTTTTGGTTTTTTCAGATGCAATTATCATGCTTTTGTTAATATCATTTCAGATGAGAAGCTGGACCTTGTGTTCTTGCTTGATGGATCGACCTCTATCACAAATGCCGGTTTTCAGGATGCTAAGCTGTTCATCAAAAAACTGTACAGCAATTTTCCTATTGGGGAATATTCAACTCATGTTGGTCTTGTTGTCTTTGGTGAAGAATCGAAAACAATTTTCGACTTAATCGAATACACCGACAAACAAACGCTTGATATGAAGCTTCCTTCACTTCTGAAATATGATTCTTCCGGGAACTTTCTGGGTAGGGGACTGCAAACTGTTAAGAAAAATGTTTATGACGTTAGTGCACGACCGGGAGGACATCAAGTACTTGTGATCATCGCGGCAGGAAGCTCACAGGATGATGTGAAAGCACCTTCGCGCGACTTGAGAGACGAGGGTGTCAGGATTTTCTGCGTAGGAATTGGTAATAACGTAGATGTTAATCAACTTCAAAATGTTGTAACAGCTCCTGAAAGGGAACATTTAGCTACGGTGAGTTCAGATAAGCTGGATACACTGCTGGGACCTGTGGTGCAGAATATCAGAAAAGGTAAGAACAAATTTGACTTTTAGTCGTGTGGGAGGATTCCACTTTTCAAAATAGTTCCTATTTCGTCCCAAACTGAATCAACGTGCTCCGGACTTTGTTTTCTGTTCTCACCTCTTTGAGTTGACCCATTGATTAATTGTGGTTATGTTTTTAAAATCCCAGATATCACAGAAACTGTGGTTCCATTAAGACTTGCTGGTAAGTAATTTTTTTTTTGTTTTTGTTTTCTTGATTGATAGATTTTGATAGTGAAGTAGAAGATGAAAGAGGAAAAATTATAAATGATGAGGGAAAGAGTCAAGGCCAGATTTCGGCAGTAAATTGTTTGAATGCAAGGGTTTTAGGGGTGATCTTTGGAGTATTGTGATTGTTTTCCATCTTAGTTTTAATTTACTAATATAACTTACTTTTCTTTCTCTTACTTTTCCTTTTTATTTTCAGACGTCAAAATGGATCTGGGTTTCTTGTTGGATGTCAATTCCAACAACTTCAGGCGTGATGAATTTAGTAACGTTTTAAACTCGATAAAATCAACATATGCGCCGTTTGTTATTGGTGACGAAAAGACACGGATCGGTCTTCTGGCGTACGACGAGCACATTCACACAATGATTGCCATGGGTCAGTATTCTTCACAACAGTCACTCGACATTGCGCTGGATAAGGTAGTAACGTCCACAACATCAGGAGACAATCTCCTCGGACGAGGTCTAGCTGCTGTAAAAAGTCAGCTGTTTTATGGTAAACCTCGTCCGGAAGTTCCCAAAATACTTGTGGTCATTTCGGGAGGAAAGTCTAAAGATGACGTATTGAGCCCATCAAAAGAGCTGAAAGGACTTAATGTAACGATATTTTGTATCGGAGTTGGACAGAATGTAGACAGAAGCGAACTTGAAGCCATAGCAACTCTACCAGCAGTGAGTCACGTAGTAATGGCAACTATATCACACCGAGAAACTGCTGGAGGAAATCTAGCGTCGAGGATTGAAAAAGGTAAAAACAAAAACAAAAAAACAGTTTCCCCCTTGTGGCTTGTAGTAGCCTCAGATTTTTTAGGCATGATCCCCAAAATAACAAGGTTCCTTTCAATTATCGCCTAGTAATAGACAAACTGACCCTTCACATTACCCTGCTTTCTATTGCAACGATGAAGCATCAAAAATTGTTCCTTAAAGAATGATTTAATTCCTTACTCATTAAGCGCTGATTGGTGTCATGGGATATCAGGAGCACAATAAGGGAGTAACGATGACGCATCCAATAGAACACTCTGCTCTGATTGTCAAAACTAGGTTTCGCTCTATGACTATGGCGTCATTTGCAAGTTCATTTTACTTCAATAGATTAAGAGAGACGTAAAGTTTTGAGCTCGATAAAGAAATATAGAGAGATTTTTTTCGTCTCGTCACGAGCGTGGGACAAGTAAACATTTCTAAGTCCCCATAAGAATCCATTCCACGCTCCGATGCTTTACCACTGAGCCACAGAGACTCGACGGCGAGCGAGGTCTATTACGGAGTTTATAAGACGCACGTCCTGCATATTGCTAAGATCAGCAATGTGGATAGCATAATTTTGTGAATAGAATTATAAAGATGGTAAGTTTTGAGCCAAGTAAAGAAATAGAGGAAGATGTTTTTCGTTTTGTCACGAGTCTTGTCGCGCACCGTAGAGTCTCTGTAGCTCAGTGGTAGAGCGTCGGAAGGCGGAATTTGAAGGTTTGAGGTTCGACTCAGAATTTTTTCTTTGTCCCACGCTCGTGACAAGACGAAAAACATCTTTATCTATTCTTTTATTTTTTTAGCATCGTCATTACTAAGAGTGTTTTTTTCACCAACGTTCTCGACTTTTCTTCAAGAAGCAATTAAAAGTCTAACTGGATCCACTCTTTAGCCACGTCTCTTCTCTGGGATGAAGTGTGGGTATTTGTTTTGTTTCCAGCTATCCAGGTTGATCTGGGCGTCCTTTTCGACGGATCATCAACTTTTCTCTGCTTTTCTGCAAGAAGCACATAACGTTTCACTGGATCCACTCTTTAGCCGTGTCTCTTTTCTGGGATGAAGTATGGGTATTTTTTTTCTTTACAGCTATCCAGGTTGATCTGGGATTCCTTGTTGAAGGATCATCAAATGTAATGGAAACTGAATTCTTTCAATGCATGGAAACGGTGAAGTATATCTATAGTGCCTTTCCCGTTTCACAAGAAAATGTTCATGTTGGTCTTGGTGTCATTTCAAGTAATCCAGAGATAATATTCGGCTTTGACAAGTATTTTGATAAGATTAGCCTCAACTCCGCCATAGACAGTGTCAAGTATTCTGGAGCTCAGCAGGTGGCGAACGTTGGACTCAGTCTTATCACGGCTAGGGATACATTTTACAGTAAGAGTACCAGGAAAGGAGTTAGACGAGTTCTTGTTTTAATGATTAAAAGTAAATCCAATGACGAGATCTCCGACCCTGCACGAAAGCTGCGGGACGATGGAGTAGAGATATATGGCTTTGACTTTGGAGACAGAGTAGAAGTACAAGAAATTGCAGAAATAGCGACAACGCCAACGAATAAACACGTAGTGATAAACGGCATTGGTACCTTTTTAGCTGGTGCACAGAATCTTATTGGGAAGCTGGGTATTGCGAAAGTGGAATCAGGTAAGTTTTTAAGAGGTTAACTTACACATGTAAAGAAGTTATTTACTAATATTCGTCAAAGTGTCATTACTGTTTTAGAGTAACTACTTTAAACATCGCTTCCACCTCGTTTTCTTAGTCTGAGAACCCGAGAACGAGTTTGTTACGCCTTCCGTTTGCGATCAAAGTAAATGACTCAGATGGGTATGTATTTTTGAGAGGGGTTTCCTTGGACCTTAATTATAGTGTTTAAATGTTGTATCCTTATTTTCATTGAACAGTCAATTTTTGCTTTCTATCACAGCGCAAAGGCAAACTCCCACACTGCGGATGACCCCACATGGAAAAGGAAGTAATGTTCTTTATTTGTCGAACTGGAAAATATATTTTACATGGAAACTGTAGCGTTTTTTTATGCATCGTTATGAGAAAATTAGAAATATATATCTTAAGGAGTTCAGTTTACATTGCTTTCTCTCCCTCCTCGCCTTCCTGGTTAATTTTCACGGGTACAAACATCTGAGAAAGAATTGTGAAGGAATTAGGCGTGAAAGATGTTAGCTTTACGCAAGTTTCTCAAGCTTAAATGTACATATTACATTTAAATGATAGAAAATCGCTGTGGAAAGTGATCACATTTAGAACATAAGTATTTTATGATGACATACATATGGATAAAATGTGAATAAATTGATTAAAGTCTTTTATCTTATAGATGCTATTGATCTGGTCATTCTGATTGATGGAAGTGCCAACACTAAACTTGAGGATTTCAACCAAATAAAAGAAATTACTAAAGCTATCTATAACAAATTCGGCGTGTCTCTTAATGGAACTCATGTTGCAGTGGTCGTATATTCTGAAGTGACACAGATCGTTTTCAATTTGAAGAAGCATTACGATCCCCAAGGTATGGACAACGATATAAACACTGCTCCTTACCTCTCTGGACTAGGTATGATGGGGAGTGCTCTAAGAGACGTGAAAACGCACATATTTGATGTTTATTCTCGACCAAATGTTCCTAAAGTGTTGATATCTGTATTGACGGGAGCGCCTGCAGACGAAATTGAAAGATACATCAACGAGTTGAAAATGTCTTGCGTCTTGTTATTTGCTTTGGGACTCACTTCCAATTACAGTCCCCAGATTTTGGATCTTGCATCCAGTGAGCCTCATTTTGAATATGTACTAACCAGCGAAACTTTTCCAGTAGCTAATTCAGTGGCACAGAAAATGGCTGCCAAAATAAAGAAGGGTAAGTTTCTCATTAGGCCAAGTTTCCAGCCGTGTGTTTCGGTACAAAGGAATGCGAGCGGGCCAGACGCTAACAGCTAGAAACTGAACTTGGCTTCGAAACACGTGGCTTCTTATTGGCTAAATAAGTGAAAACTGATCTGCTTTTAATGTATTAAAAATATATAAAGTTATGGCTTTTCTTTTGTATTTAAAATTCTTTAACGATTTTCTTGACATGGTGATGACCTATGAAAAAAGTAATAGTCAAAACGATGTGACTGCCAAGGTCACGTGTTAAAATAAGTGGTACATGAGTCAGTATTGCCGCAAAACGTTATTGTTGCCCAGTACTTACGTTGATTACATTTGAACTTGCTTGAAATTTTTATTTTCTTAAATCTTATAATAGGAAATAGGCGGGAATGCATCTATTTCAATGACCAACCCTTAACATCAAAAGCCGTAAAAATAGCGTTTCATCTACAGTAGCTTAAAAATGTCAATGCCGAGAATGTATTAGTAGTCAAAAGCGAAGAGCTTTCATATCAACAACTACGTTGCCTCCACAGTTGTCTCGATACAAAAGGCCCGCTCTGAACTTTGTGTGCAGCCGGGAGGTGAGTGCAATAATTTGAACACGACTGAACAAACCAATAATCAAACAAGACAAGACATACATGTGCTGCCGTGTGCAACGCACCATTTTCCTAACATCGAACACCTTTTCAATAGTTTATGAATCTCATTTGTTTTCAGATTCAAGACTGGATTTTGTGCTCTTAATAGGCAACTGTGGGAATAACTCCAAAGAATATTTTCCTCGACGTTTGGATTTCGCAAGAAATTTAATGCACTCTTTGACGGTGAATCCTCGAAGCGTACGCACTGCTCTCATATCAGTTTCTAATGGAGCTGAAATAGTTCAAGGTTTGAAAGCACAACCATACAACCCCGTCGCAGTGTCTTCGGCTTCTCACTTGTCTGGCGGACTCTGTACTTTTGGGCAAGGAATGGAAATAGCGCTTGCTTTGTTTAGGAACAGCGGAATAAGGGGTATTCCCCAAGTGCTGATCACTTTGTTGGATGGGAAATCTGATGATGATGTTTCGAAGCCTGCAATTGAGATTAGCAAAGCAGGTGTCCTAATGTATGCAGTTGGGTCCAAGAACAAAGTCAGTGAATTCGTTGCCTCCAACATTACCAGTGACCCCACTAAAGAATTTTTTATACCAGATCCAGGCATTCTACCTATTGAAACAATGAAGCAGGCAGTTGTGGACAAACTAGAAAGAGGTTTGATAAATGGAGCGTTTTATTTTCAGCCACCCAATTTAATCAATATACCAGAATTTTTGCCAATTCTTAATTCACGACAAATCAAAAGTTATGGTCCAGCATATTAGAAAATAAAAAGGGGAAAACGCAATCAAGGGTATGGTGGACAATTCTAGGCATAGCAACTACAACGCGGCTATTCTGAGTTAATTAAGAAAGCCCAAAGTAGCATATCAATCGACAAAATGTTAATAACCTCTTGCAAAAAACTTAAGCTTTCATACTCAGTGCCAACCATGCCCTTTTGTAGATGATAGGTCTACAAGGGTTAGAAGCATATTCTAAGAAATCGAGCAGCTGAATTCTTTGGGTAATCAAATCCTGAGCTGATAAAAATCGCCTTTTGAAAACATATTGTAGGTTTGCAACGACGTGACTTGTTCGTTCATTTTTAAAATTTTAAATACGATTTTGGCATGCAATTGCCTTTGGTAGAAGTTCAGGTGCAAATCAGCCTTTGGTAGGCTTTTGTAGCATTTCGAATAGAAAACCAATAAAACCAACGAGTGTACGTTTCGCCGCTAATATTACAGTTCTATAATTTTTTAGCTAAAGCAACTAAATGTCGCAAGAATAAGCATTCTGCGCGGTGATGATAAGAACACAACGTCTAAGAATTAAGATTTTCGTTTTCTTTGTTTATTGAAGATATTGAAATTGGAAAAAGACTTGTTTGTCCTGTGAGAGAATGTAGTAATAATGGTAAGTTTGCCTTCTGATGATTTTACGCGTACTTTCAGAGTGGGTGTTTTTGTTTGAGTTATACGATGTGGTACCTTATTCACCTTGAAAATTAGATTTACACACATAGAGGGTTTAATAATTTCCCCGTTCATCTTCTGCGTTTAACTTCTCAATGTCCCTCTTGTTTGCTTTGTATTCTCCAGCAGAATATTCAGAGATTTCAATCGCGAGTGCTTTTTAGTGGTTAATAAGGAAGTTTTACAGGCCCAATTCAAAATGCCGTGGAGAACCTCCTTATAAAAGTAAAATCGCAAACAAAATGAAGTATCGCTGTCTTTTTTGACAACATTACCCGGCACCTGCTATATGATAGAGCTTTGTTTATTTTGTTTTGTTTTTGTTCCGTTTCTTCTTTTTTTTTGTTTGTTGTAGCTTTTTTTGCACTTCTTTGTAGTTGTTGTTTCTTTTGGTGGAAAATTTTAAATTTTATTTTTTTGTTTATCAATCTACATCATCTTTATTCATAAATAGTTGGTCTTTTTTTGACGTATTCAAATAATTTTCACACTTTTGCCTTCTACTCTTTACAGAGACGAAGCCTTCATCAGAGTTAAAGCCACAACCTCAATCACAAAACGCAACAAAATCTCGTCAACCCCTTGCAGCTAAGATAGGACCAGTTGATTTGGTTTTCTTAGTCGAAGGCAGTGATATGGTTAATGAGACATTGTTCAGGGTAATGCTCGACATTGTAAAAGACGTCTATAGTCGCTTTCCAGTCTCCTTGAATGAAACACACGTGGCCGTAGTCGTTTACGGCTCCAACACCCAAATCGTGTTCAATCTCAAAAACTACTTCAATGCTAGCGAAATGAACAAAGTTTTAGTGTCAATTCCAAAGCCCTATGGCGCTACTTTTTCGGGAAAAGCTCTGAAGGCTGTGAGAACGAAGGTTTTTTATGGAGCTGGAAGAACGAATGAATCTGGTGTATCGCGTGTTCTCCTACACATTACGTGTGGTAAGTCAGCTGATGACGTAGTTGGGCCAGCTAAAGTTCTTAAAGAAGCAAAGGTCAAAATAGTTGCAGCCGGCGCATGTCCTGAGGCTAATAAAATGGAGCTTTGCAACATTGGAAGTCCTCCGGTATGTAATAACTCTGTGCTTATCAATACACTCAAGCCACCGAATATTCCTGGGAAAGAGCTGGCCAGTAAACTGAAGCAAGGTTAGAGAAAAGTTAGAGATGAATTTTTGTGCTCTCCATATGTTATAGAAGACATTCTATTTACGTACGCTACAAAATTAAGTCTAGATAGATTGATCGACTCATAATTGAGAACGTAAGCTAGTTCACGCAAAAGTGGTAGATAAGTAGAGATAGGGGTAATCAAATGGAACAAAAGCCCCAAACTGTGCCCAACCTATGACATTTATGAAGACATATTGGCTGTTTGATAGCTTTTGATGCCGCACACACGTAAATTGAGATCAATAGCACTAGTGCGTGCAGCCGATCGAAAGGACTCTGAATTTAATACTGTCTCTTTATCTATAGATATTCCTATTCAAAATACCACGGAAAAAAAGCCAGGTAAGACTACTTGAATTACGT